GAAAGTAAGCCCAACCAGTTTTCTCCAGTGTCTTATAAAAACAGTACTTCTACAAACTTGAAGAGCTAGCAGGATCTCGTTCTCTATTAACCTTTCCCATATAGGCTTACCAGAGTGCTCGGTTACTTTGGTAACAATTTCAGGGTTCAGTGAAGATGAGGAAAATCCTGGAAGTGGGCTGTTCAGGCAGTGGTTCCACTGCCTGCTTCAACTTGGATACTTGAGGAGTAGAGCTCTGATAGTTCTTGCTTGCTGACAGGTCAGAGAAGGGTTGTGCTCCACTGCAGGGAGCGTTACAAACCTTCAAGGTGAGGATGGTTCAGGCCGAGAGACCGGTTTTGCTTGGATGCAGCTGATGTGATCCCCTCGTTGTCCAAAAAGCGGATTCCTTGCCCGGTGTGCAGTAGGCCAATGATCACACGCTCAGGAGAGACGCTGGTGGTTTATTTCGGGTTTGCACAAGCCTGGGTGCTTTGTGGTTTCCCACAAATCAAGCGCGCCATCATACAAAACTACAGCACGTTTATCAGGTTACATGATTAGTACAAACCCGCCTAAATTTACACTTATTGGTTAATAACATTTCATACACTATCGGTTTACTGTATTTAAATTAGCCTCGCTTGCTATGTAAATCAGCACGTGTGCTCCTTTCAGGTGGGGGGGTAAGTCTTTTTGGTCCTGAACTGAGTCGGTGGTCGCGATCTCCCCTCGCCGCATTTCCCTCTCACCCAGTTTCTGCAGTTTTATCAAACTTCACGCTTCTCTGGCCGCCGTCCCGTCTTTGGTGCCAAGATGTTCCCTTTTATCAGTCTGTTAGCTCTTCTTCGAGGTTAGAGCCATTAGTTTTCCACAGTTCGTTACTTATACAAACACTTCCATGTCTTTTAGCTCCCTCCCAAATTCCTTTCCCAAGGCACAAGTGGCTAGTAGTTCTGCTAATTGGAAAATTGCTGTTTCTGCAGGACATCACCCTGTTTCATGTCTTCTGCGTCTGTCTGGGGCCCTGCTGGTGGGATCACAGTTCCTGCGTCTGTTTGAGCAGCTCTGACCTCCTGCATGTTGTAACTTCAGGCCCCCAACTGCAGCCAAACGGCGGCAAAGTTTAGGACTTTGACAAGCAGTGAGGATGACTTGGGGACTGCCTGAAATCTGTGGAAACTCCAGTTGTCTGATGCCCTTCAAGGAAATTTCTTTAGGCAATTTTTATGTTGAGTTTGGACATGGAAGAGCAGGCAGACAACTTTGCTGCTCATGATCAGTGTGATTTTTCATCCCCGTGACCTGAAGTTGGCCCGTTCAAGGCTTATTCCTGACCCCTCCATGGGAGCTTTTCGCTGTCCTACAGCACTCATACCTAGTTCAGCATTTGAATTTCTGCAAACCGTTTCCAACGGATTTTTCACCTGTATTTGTCCATGATGTTAACAATGGCTGTGTTCTGCTCTGCTCGGGCAAATGCACAACTGGATGGAAAAAGAAGTAATTGCGTTGTTTCCTGCTCACTGCATGAGGTGGAAAGTGGCAATTTCCTCTGATGCAAGTCCCCTGCTCCTACTACTGTCCATCCTCATCACCCTTGTCACAGCCTCGCCAGGGTAAGAAACAAAACCGCTCGTGGGTCCTGGCTTGCCCACCGCCCTGTGCCGTGCTCCATGGTGGTACATGATGGCTTGAAGTAGGAGGAGAGGGTGCCTTTGCAGGGGGATACCATCTCGGTTGGGTCCTGTATCAGACACTGACCTTGGAGACCATAAGGACATGTCTCGTGTAGTTAGAGATGATGCTGGGTTAGCCTTAGCACAGGGCTGGGTAGTGAACGGCAGGGAAGTGCTTGTGAGCTTCGACAGGCAGGCGTGGACGGTATCATCAAGGCGCTGTGCGTGACCCTGCAGGACCATCAGGGCTCTCTGCTATTGATGTTCCCTCTTTCTTGGCCTTTCTGCTGCACAGCTCCTCTGGCCTTGGCAGTGCGCTGGGTCCCGCTTCCTGGGATGAGCCGTTTTATCACTTGCTGTTCCGATTTCTTCTGCTGCCCGTGCTGCAGAGTTGGAGCATCTCTGTATGCTGCCCTGCTGTCACAGGGGACCCCGCTGAGGGGGGCACCCGCCGGGCAGGATCACATCTGAATTTGAACTCGGAGAGGTGGAGACGGTGCTCACAAAGAGGACCCTCGGTCCGTGTGTCCCAGCCTAGGCCATCCTGACGTCAGGCCCTGGGTGGTTGATGTGGAAATGTCTGCTATGGGAAAAGAATGGTCTTTTCTCAGCCCCTGCAGAGTGCCTGCTGGCTGTGGGAAAGTGAAAAGGGGATGGGCTGGTTTGGATTAGCGTGTGAAATAAAGCAGGGGTTCTTAGGGCCGGCTGTGGCTGGCCTGTCCCTTCCCTCGCAGGCAGGCGGGCACCGGCCTGGGGGCGAGCAGGAGGAAGTGAAAACGTTCCACCCATTTACTCAGCTCAGCACCTTGGCTGTGTTTGCGATGACGGAGCCCTGACGGGTTTGGTGCCTTTTCCTCCAGCAGCTGCTCTCTTGTTCCCAGAGGATCCCAGGCCTCCCGAGTCTGCTACACGTCCTTGTGGGTAGCTGCAAAGCAACAACCTCCTTCATCCCTCCCCTGATGAAATCGGGCTGAAGGCTAAGCTACCAGGAGAGGACAGCAGGTGTTGTTGGCCCCAACACAGAGCTGCTCAGCCCCTTGGCCCGTAGTGAGCTGTCTTGAACATGTCTCTGCCTCTCCTCGCTCCCCTTTCCTTGCAGCTCTTCCCCGTCCCTGAAGAGATGCTGCTTCCTCGGCTCTGACTCACTGTGACCAAAGCCCTGGCTCTGCTGCTGGAGCTCAGCAGCCTGGACCTGCTCCTAGAAGCCTCTTTCAGGCAAAAGCCAGTGGGCTTTTGAGCTGACCATGATTGCTGTCCACAGCCACGCTCATTCTATCTGTGTCCAGGGTTTGGTCACCTCCACAACCCCTTTTATTTTTCCAGACTTCCCATGGAGGTTTGGCTCTTCCACCCACTTTAGCTTCGTTCCCCTAGTTCCACATGGGCTTGTGTGCCACTGCCCAGCTGTAAACCTTGCAACGTCCCGTCGGCGTGGGCTCAGCGTCTGTACGCTTTCTGCAGCGATACTGAGCCTGCTTGGGACAGCCTGTCCGGCTGGGGACCAGAGCCAGCATCCTGCAGGCTCTCCAAAGGGGGCTGATACATGGCAGTTCCCGGACCTTTTCCTCTATCTCCTCAATCATGCTCTTTGCTCTTGAATGCGCAACATCACACCTGTGCTCTTGCTGTGAACAGGGCAAATCGTGTGCTGGACTAAGACCAGATCATGGCTCACAGATCAAGGGACGCTATCCCTGCTGCCTGCCTGCACCGGGACGCTGTCCCTGCTGCCTGTCTGCCCTGCTGCACTGGACCCAGTGTTGAACCCTGAGTTCAAGAAGAGGGATGTGGGAGAGGGACAACCAAAGGGTGACCAAGATGGTCATGGGGCTGGGCACACAACCTGCGAGGAGTGTTTATGGGAGCTGGGCTGGTTTTGTCTGGTGAAGAGGAGGAGAAGGCTGATCTAATAGCAGCCCGCAGCTACTTGAAGGGCAGTTTTGCTGCCAGTGGAGCCAAATTCTTCCCAGGAATGGCAGAGAAGGTAACGAGGGCCAACGGCCACATGTACAGCTTCAGAGATGCAGGCTGAGCATTAGGAAAATGTCTTTTCTGGGAGGGTGGTGCAGCCCTTTGACAGATCACCAGAGGGGTGGAAGGCCTCCATCCTTGTAGGTTGTCAAGACCTTGACACGTCCGACTTGCTCTGGTGGCAAGGATAGTCCAGGTCCGAGTGTGAGTTTGGCCTGAAGTCCTCTAGACGCCCCTGCTGCTATGACACTGCGTGTGGCATGCTGAAATTGCCTCGCGCAGGGGGAATCTGGATATTCCAGCGCTCTCTGTCCCTCGGATTGCTTCATCCTATACTAATAATGGGAAACACAAATTCCCATTAAGTGCAGCAGACTTCTGCAGCTGGAGTCAAAGCTGGAGTCAAAGAGGGACCTCTTTTTCTGCATCATCTGCTTAAAAATACTTTTCTCCAAGTTTCATTTCTACATGAAGTCCCATCCTGTTCCTGTTCCTAGCCTGCAACTTCAGTTTGATTCATAGAGCAAGTTGAAGGAAAATCCTTACAAAGATGAAGCTTGTTGGGAGCAGCAACCCTCAGAACTGCCGTTTCCACCTTGGCAGCCTGTGGGGCTGGCAGCCGCGGGGACCATGCTCGGCTGCTTCGGTGAAGGACGGGGCCTGTCTCTGCAGGAGAGCGGGAAGGGTGCTGCTGCCTGTCCCGAAGGCGTGAGAATTTGGCTCTGCCTTTCCCACGGCTGATGGTGCCGCAGTGACACGCAGTCCAGACCCGCTGACTCCCCTCTCCTCCGCACGCTGAACGCAGCCAGGGCGTGATGCATGGGATGTTTGTGCCGGGGCAAGCGTGGTCTGAAAGCCCAGAGGTGAGCAGGATGGAGATGCCTGTGTGTTTGTAAGGGGTGAGGGCTGTCTAGGCACAGCCCTTTGCTTTCTCTGCCATGGTCCGCCCGGATCTGCCCGCTGCTCCGTGGCACCATGGCTCTGTCGGGCCCCAGCTGCAGAGGGGCCGGGCAGGCTGGTACACGGGAGATGTGCGATGGGGACAGGCTGGAGCACCGGTGCAGCCAGGACAGCACCATGGCAGAGCCTGGGGCCCGCGCCTTCACTCACCCTCAGCACTGGCGGCACCGCCAGGGCCAGGGCTGGGGGGCACCAAGCAGTGATGGGTGATGGGGGCCAGGAAGAGGATTGTCCCAGCAGCGCATCAGTCAGTCTGTGCAGGCCAGTAGCATGGGGCTATGGCCAGAGAGGGAACTTGCCACTGCTAGAAGCAGAAGTGAAAGGCAGGCAGAAGCGAAAGCAGAGCCCAGAGCCACTTCCCATGCAGTTCCCCTCTCTGCAGAGTGCCCTGGAGCACCCAGCAGCACAGCCATGGAGCCCCTCTCCTTCCAGGAATACATCTGCTCCCTGGACCCCGCCACCCTGCCCCGCATCCTCAGGATTTGCTCCGGTGTCTACTTCCAAGGTGAGTGCTGGGTGCCCGCTGCCTCCAAAGGGTGCCCCGAGGCTGTGCCACCTCCCCCTGCCATGCCACAGCAGCCCGGGCTCCCCCCTCCTGCCCTGAAGGACGGCTGGTCCCCTGCCACCAGGGTCCCCATGGGAGAGGCACAGGTCCTCATGCCACCACCAGACACTGGTGCCTAAGGCACAGCTTCTCACAAAAAACCTTCTCTTCTACACCCAGTGCCCGCCCAGCTGAGTGCCACGGTGCATTCAGTCATGCTCCTAGGAAAGCGGTGGGGCACCAAAAACCATCCAGGCCGGTCCTCTATTTCATGCACCGCTCTCATCCCAGGCAGTGAATGAGCTGCTGGCGGTGGATCTGGCAGGGATGGACCCACATGCTCAGTGGCTGGAGGAAGGTGGGATGGCATTGCCCCTGGCCCCGGGGCGAGGAGTCCAGCAAGGGCGCAGAGAGGAGCCTGGGCTGAGCACCCTGCTTCCTCCTGGGCCATGTCCCTGGAGACATCTTAGGTCAAGGAGAAGCCTTGACCAACATGGCTTCCTCAGCTGGTGGCAATGTTGATGGTGAAATGGAGCCAGAAATTAGCAAATGCTCTTGCTGGATTGCTGGGGCTCCCAGAAATTCTGGGAATGCGCAGCAGGATCTTGGCAACACCAGTGTGGTAATTAGCATCAAGACTTGTAGGATTTGTGGCATTTGTTAGGTTACACTGACTTTTAAAGAGCAGGAGAAGTCGTTGGGGTGGTCTCACTCTGCTTCTCTATAGCTCAGCTGGGGTGGATGTTTAGCTTTCCCAAAGACTTTTGGTGGTCCTGATGACATGCTAACGTTGCTAAATGAGCAAAAATGCCACTGTTGCAACAGCAGCAGTCAATTTGTTTAGCTGTTGCTGGTAGTTATGGTGGGGTAGCTGGTGCCTTCTGCTTCGCATACCAGGGGGTTTGTCATGAGTTCATCCCAGGGAGGGGAGAAGTTTGGGGCTGCACAGAAGGTTTGGTAGCAGCTCAATGAATGCAGAGATTTAAGGGCAGAAGGGGGCATTGCTTGTGTTGGAGGGTGTCATGATGTGGTAGTGTAGCCGGAGGAGCTCCTGCTCCAGGAAAGGCTCCGGCTTCAGGAAAGGCACATCTACCCCTGTCCCTTTGCACGCAATCAAGCACTGAATCTTTCCTGCTGCATTTCTCATCTGAGTTACATCGGTTCAGCCTCCAGCCATTCCCGTTGTGCTCTTCTGCACTGCTTTTCTGCACTGCACAGCTACCAGCACTGGAAGCTTTCCAGGACATGGGCTGTACAAGCTTCCAGGTATTCCTGATTCCTTAGAAATAAGCATCAGCCCAACAAAGACCCCTCAGCCAACCTCCTGGTTGCATGTTCTCTTGGCTGCTGGTGAACGGTGCTGGACCTCGCAGACAGGTCAGGGTGCACTGGGGATCAGTCAGTGTTGCACCCTGCAGATGTGCCATCCTGCACTGATGATATTTCTTGAACACTTTTTGGATTTCCTGCCTTAACTAAAGATTGTACTGCTTCTGGCTTTTTGTTAGCAAAAATTTGGGTGGGTCCCCAAGATGGTAAACAAAACTGCTGGTCTCTGCTCCTCCTGGGGCTCCTCTCCCAGCCACACGCTCCTCGCCTCCTCTGCGTTCTTGATCCTGGTTTATGTTGCAAAACCGCTCTGCCTTGGTGCTGCGGTGGAGCTGAAGAGTGCTTTGGGGTCCTGCGCAGGGCATCCACAGCCACATGTGTCTGTGTGTCTTGCTGCCAGCCCCGGGGGCCAACCATGCCACGTGTGCACGGAGTTAACCGGGTCTCTGCACCCAGGGTGTGAGGCATCTCTGCGCTCTGGGCACTGCAGCCCAGCTGTGGGTTTCCTCCCGTTTCAGACCGTGCCCTCAATGCTGTCATAGCGTGACAGGGCGTGGGAGAGCTGCAGGAGGGGAACTGGGGCTTGCACAACACACAATACTTTCTGAAACTTCCTGTCTTTCATCCACCTCTTCCTGTGGTTTATTTTTTCATACTTATTTCCACTTCGAGGTTCCCCCCGCTCCTGGGGACATAGGCAAGTGGTGGTCAGTGGTGTGGCGGTACCTGCAGCAGCATCTCTCCCCCCGTGCTCGGGCACCGATACCCAGCACGGGGACAGCAGCCCATCTCTGGCGGTGTGTCCAACCTTGGCTCCGTCTGTCCTGCCCAGACCCGCCGGGGTGCTGTGTGTACTGGGGCCCTAAACCAATATGTTCCCACTGTGGCCAAAGGCACCAGCTTGCCCCACGCACTGGGTGAATCTCTGCCAGCCCCATCTCCACCCACCGCTGAGCCCGCTGGCCAGCTCTGCCCTTCCCTGAATAGCTGCCCTCCTTCCCCAGCACCCTCCAACCCCCATCCCATGGCCTCCTTCTGCAGTCCCAGGTGTCGCCTTGGCCTCACCACAGGCACTGGGGCTCCCTCAGGGACATCCATGCGCCCATGAGTGCCGGGATGCCCGGGCTTGGTTCATGTCCCAGAAAGGACAAATCCTGCAGCCAGGGCCAGGCCATGGGTCAGTCCCCTCCCCACTGCCCTGGGGACCTCATCACAGCTGGCCAAGCAGAAGGGCCCCCACTATGTAACTGGTATTTGTTAATGGCACATAGCATGACTACCTGTGATGGGAATCACTAAATCACCAACGTTAGCAGGGACCCCTAGAGATCATCCAGGTCAACCCCCAGCTCAAGCAAGGTCAGCAGGAGCTGGTTACTCAGGACTTTGTCCAGCTGGATTTTAAATATCTCCAATGATGGAGACTCCACAACCTCTCTGGGCAACCTGTTCCAGTGTTTGAGCACCATTACAGTAAAAAAACATTTTCTTACATTCAGAAGTTTCATTGTGTTCCAGTTTGTGCTCATGGCCTCTGGTCCTGGCACTGGGCAATACTGAGAAGACCCCGGCTTTGCATCCTCCCTTCAGGTACTTATATACATTGATGAGATCCCCCCCGAGCCTTCTCCAGGCTGAACAGTCCCAGCTCTCTCAGCCTTTCCTCAAAGGAGAGATGCTCCAGTCCCTTCATCATCTCTGTGGCCCTTTGTTGGACTCTCTCCAGTATGTCCATGTCTCTTGTACTGGGGAGCCCAGCACTGGACACAACAGTCCAGGGGTGGCCTCACCAGTGCTGAGCAGAGGGGAAGGATCACCTCCCTCAGCCTGCTGGCCATGCTTTGCCTGGTGCAGCCCAGGACAGCATTCGCCGTCTTTGCAGCAAGGGCACATTGCTGCCTCGTGTTCAATCTGGTGTCCACCAGCACCCCCAGGGCCTTTCTACCGAGCTGCTTTCCAGGCGGGGGGCCCGCGGCGTGTGCTGGTGCGTGGGGTTGTTCCTTCCCAGGGGTGGGACTTTGCCCTTCTCCTTGTTGAACTGCATGAGGTTCCCGTCAGCCCAGTCCTCCAGCCTGCCAAGGCCCCTCTGGATGGCAGCACGACCCTCTGGCCTGTCAGCAGCCCTTCCCAGTGTGGTGTCATCTGCTGAGGGTGCGCTCTGCCCCATCATCCAGATGATTAATGAAGTTAAACAGGATTGGACCCAGTATTAATCCCCAGGGCACACCGCTGGTGACTGGCCTCCAACTAGACTTGGTGCCACTGATCACCACCCTCTGGGTCCAGCCATTCAGCCAGGTTTCAGTCCACCTCATTGTCTGCTCATCCAGCCCATTCTTCATCAGCTTCTCTATGAGGATGTGATGGGAGATAGTGCCAAAAGCCGTACTGAAGTCAAGGTAAACAATAGCCACTGCTGTCCCCTCGTCCACCAAGCCAGTCACCTCATTGTAGAAGGTGATCAGGTTGGATAAGCGTGATTTCCCCACACTGACTAATCCCAATCACCTTTTCGTCCTTCATGTGTCTGGTGATGGTTTCCAGAATTACCTGCGCCATCACCTTCCCAGGGTTTGAGGAGAGCGTGACTGGCCCCTAGGTCTCTTCTTGCCTGTCTCGAAGATAGGAGTGACATTTGGTTTTTTCCCCAGTCTTCAGGAACCTCTCTCGATTGCCCATGACCTCTCAAAGATAATAGAGAGTGGCCTCACAAAGTCAGCACTCATGGGTGCTCCCGGCAGGCCCCACTGATGTCTGTCTGTCTGTTCAGTGCTCCCTTACCTGGACCTCCTCCACCAAGGGTAGGTCTTCCTTGCTCCAGACTTTCTCCCTGTTCCCAGGGGGATTCCTGAAGGCTGGTCATACCTGTAAAGACCGAGGCCAAGAAGTCATTGAGCACATCAGCCTTCACTGTGTCCTCTGTCACCACGTCCCCTGCCCCATTCAGCAGCAGACCCACGTTTTCCTCAGTCTTCCTTTTGCTGTTGATGTACTCGCAGAAGCCTGCCTCGTTGCCCTTCACATCCCTTGGCAGATTCAGCTCTGGGCGGGCTTTGGCTTTCCTAACCCTATCCCTGCATGCTAGAGACTGTCTCTGTGCTCCTCCTGGGCCATCTGCCCCTGCTGCCACCGCTCGTGAACCTCCTTCTTATGTCTGAGTTCAGTCAGGAGCTCCCAAGTGTTGGACAGGAGCACCAACCACCTGCAGGTATTCTAAGAAAGCAGTAAAGGACACCTTACAGAGGGTGGTGAGGCACTGGCACAGGTTGCCCAGAGAAGTTGTGGATGTCTCATCATTGGAAGTGTTGAAGGTCAGGTTGGACGGGGCTTTGAGCAACCTGATCCAGTGAAAGATGTTCCTGCAGGGGACATGTCCATAGCAGGGGGTTTGGATCAGATGATCTGTGAAGGTCCTTTCCAACCCAAACCATTCTGTGATTCTATGAAATGCTGGTAGAGGCATTTTCTTTGAGGAAATCTCCCTCCTCACCCTGCAGGATCTGTGTACGAGATCTCAGGCAACGAATGCTGCTTGTCGACGGGTGACCTGCTGAAAGTCATGGCCGTGGCACTGGAGAAGGTCATTTGTGAGGACACAGAGACGGGGCAGACAACGGAGCTGCCACCAACATTTAAGGGTGAGCAGGGCTGCCCTGTCCCAGCCCGAACCCAACGGGTGCTCTCCTCCCAGGGGAGACCTTTGCAGCCCCCGTGGGCTCAGCCTCATTGTCCCACAGGTCTTTTCAAGCCTGCCTCAGCCCCGGGACCATACTCGACACCACGGGGACCATTCCTGGAGGGCAGCAAGCAGCGGGGCCTGACGCTGCACCAGGCGGTGGGGCGGTCGAGCGGGCAGCCACGGCCCATGCTGTGTCCCACCATCGGCCCCTGTGCCCTGCTCCTGCACCCTGTCTATGAGGTGCATGCCACCATGCACTGTGAGTCCGGATGGGGCAGGCAGGGTGCTGGGGAGTCGGGGTGCTGCAGGATTCAGGGCAGGGGGCTGTGGGGTCAGGGCAGGGGGCTGCGGGTCGGGGTTGGGGTGTGAGGCTGTGGGGTCAGGGCAGGGATGCTGTGGAGTTGGGATAGGTGTGCTGCAGGGTCGGGGGCCTACACTGGTTTGGTGCTGGGACCCCAATGCACACAGGGTGTGTGGCTACAGGTGGGGGGATGTGAGGTGGGGGTCCTCTCCCACGTGGGGCTGGGGAGAGGCTGAGCATGGAGTCAGGGCAGCTCTGCCCCCGCAGTGCGTCGGGACATGGTGAAGATCCCCTCCACGCTGGAAGTGGACGTGGAGGATGTCACAGAGGAGGCGCAGCACGTCCAATTCGCCCGACCGCTGCTGCTGAGCGAGGTGCTGGGGATGGAGGAGGCGCTGCCGACCCGGGCTGAGATCCTGGAGGGTCCAGCCGGCCCTGCCATCTTCGAGAACACCTGGGTGCCACGGCTGCAGCGGGGGCAGTGGCTGCAGCTCCATGGCCGCTCCCACGCCTGGCGAGTCCTGGCCTCGGCCCCCAGCAGCGGCCGCCATTTCCTCCTCTCCAGCGCCTACCAGGGCCGGTTCCGCCGGCGGCCCCGGCAGTTCACAGGGGTGCAGGAGCTGGCGGCTGGCCTGCGGCCCAGACAGCAGCTGCGCGTGGTGGTGACGCAGGACTGCGAGGGCCGGGGGGATGACGTGCCCCCGCTCGGTGTGGGCGACCGGCTGGAGGTCCGGGGGCTGCAGGGGAACGGCCCCGGCACCTGGCTGCTCCGCCACCGTCATGGTGAGGAGGAGGAGGAGGAAGGCGAGGAGCTGCTGCTGCCGCTGGACCTGGGGGGCGGCTTTGTGGAGGAGGCGTGTGCCAGCAAGAAGTACAAGCTGGTGGAGCTGCTGGAGCAGCAGCCGCTGCCCTGCGAGGTCCGGGTGGTGGCCCCCGACCCGGAGCTGGAGCGGGATGCCCTGGGTCCCCTGCCCGCCCTGCGGCTGGAGGCCCGCCTGGACCAGCCCTTCCTGGTGGGCAGCTTCTGCGAGGAGCCGGAGGAGGGCTTCGAGCTCCCGCCGCAGTGGCTGGGCCTTTCCCCCCTGCCCTGCGCCGGG